CTGTCCCGGGGTCTGTCCCTGTCCCGGGGTCTGTCCCTGTCCCGGGGGGTCCCCGCGGGTCTCACGTTGGACCCCCTGCATCGAATCCGAGGCCCCGCCCCCTTCCCGTCCGGCCCCGCCATTGGCTGCGCGGCAGGAAGTGAGTCAGGCGGCAGCGCGTGCGGCGGCGGGGCGGGGCCGTTGGGTGGGCGGACCAATGGCACGAGGGCGTGGCTCTCTCACCCAATCACAGCGGGAGGGGGGCGTGGCCCTCGGGCGCCGCCACGCCCCATCACCGCCACTCGTGCGGGCGCTGGGCGGGGCCTCCCTTAACGCCCACCAATGAGCGACCGAGATGGGCGGGGTCTTCCTTAGCGTCGGCCAATAGGCGTTGTCGGGGGCGGGGCCCGAGCGGGGCCTGGAGGAGCGGCCGCTCGGGGCGGGCAGAGGCCGCCGCGCCCCCCCCGCCGCCGGACCGGCCCGTCCCGGCCCCGCCATGGCCGCCCCCCCCCCGCCTCGGCATCCAGATGCTGCTGGAGGCCGCCGAGTTCCTAGAGCGGCGGGAGCGAGGTACCCCATACACACACCCCCTCCCCTCCCCGCGCTGCCCCCGGTGCCCCCGGGCCGGGCCCCGCGCTGACCCGCGGCCGCCGTTGTGTCTCCGCAGAGGCCGAGCACGGTTACGCCTCGCTGCGGCCCGGCGGCAAGGACGGGGAGGCCTCGCGGCGCCGCGCCAAGGCCCGCAGGAGCAGCAGCGGCGGCAGGTGACGGCGGCACCGGGAGGGGGCGGGGGGAACCGGGCCGGGCTCGTTGTGGGGCTGCCGGGCAGGGTCGGGGGGCTCCTGACACCGGGGCACCGGGCCCGTGAGGCCTCGCTGCCACCGGGGGTGTGCCAGGGCCGGGGTGACCCTCCAGGCCCCGGTGAGGCCCAGCTGTCACGGGGCTCCCGGCAAGGCCGGGAGGACCCTCCTGTCACCAGGGGACCGGGCCGTGAGGCCCCGCTGTCACCGGGGGTGTGACAGGTCTGGGAGGGCTCCTGTCACTGTGGGACCGGGCTCTCTGGGGTCTCCCCACTGTCACCGGGAGTGTGACCACGTCAGGGAGACCCTCCTGTCCCAGGTGTTTGAGGATGGTCCTGGTGTCACCGGGGGTGTGACAGGGCTGGGGGGCTCCTGTCACCGTGTGTCTGGGCCCGGTGAGGCCCCACTGTCACAGGGCCTGTGGCCGGACTGGGGTGACCCCCTGTCACCAGGTGACCAGGCTCTGGTTGGGTCCCACTGTCGCCAGGTGTGTGACAGGGCTGGGGTGACCCCCTGTCACCGTGGGTTTGGGGTACTGTGAAGTCCTGCTGCCACCAGACATGGGGCAAGGCTGGGGTGACCCTTCTGTCATGGGGGTGCTCAGTCCCTGGTGGGTCCCTCTGTCCCCGGTGTGTGACAGGGCCAGGGGGACCCTCCTGTCACTGTTTGCTCAGGCTCTGGTGAGGCCTGTCTGTCACCAGCTGTGTGACAGGGCTGGGTGTGGCTCTGGTGCCACCAAAGTCCTGCTGTCACCGGGTGTGTGACACCGTGGGCGGGACCCTCCTGTCCCCGGGTGACCGGGGCATGGTGAGGCCCCGCTGTCACTGGGTGTGTGACAGGGCTGGGGGGACCCTCCTGTCACCAGGGGACCAGGCCCAGTGAGGTCCTGCTGTCAGAGGGCCCCTGGCAGGGCTGGAGGGGACCCTCCTGTCACTTCCTTAATTATCCACCCTGAAATCCACCCAGAGCCTTCCTATTGTTGCTCCCTGGTTGTTCCTCCCTGTTATCCCTGCCTGGTTTTTTCTCCCCGTTATCCCTCCCTGGTTGTTCCTCTCCACCGTCCCTCCCTGTTATTTCCTGCTGATTTTCAGTCCTAAACCTGAAAGTCCTAAACCACCTTTCCTACAAGTTGAAATCGGCTCCATTCACCCACGTTGAGTTTTAGGAGCAAATCCCACCATCCCAGGAGCAACAGGAGTCGCCCTCGTGCTTTATTCCTTCACTTTAACATCCCAAAATTCCCTCGGATCGCCGTGGAGGGGGAACGATCAGCTGGTTTGGGAAGGGCTGGCTCCGGGCTGTGCCTCCAAGCCCAGGGAAGCTCCGAGGGGCAGCGGGTTCATCCCGACACGTCACTGGCGCCGGACGGTGCCAGGGAGGAGCCAGGCGGGGATGGCACCACGTCTGTCACTTCTTTCCTGGTCGGGAGCAGCCCCGTCTGCGCCGACCTTTGGCAGCCGCCGGAACAAATCCACCTGGATGCACACGTGCCCTGGTTCCCGGGGTTCTCCCGGGGTTCTCCCGGGGTTCTCCCTGCGCCCTGTCCCGCCCACGCAGGTGTCCTGGGCTGTCAGGGGGGTGGGAGGCAGCTGAGGCCTCGGGCTCTTGTTTCAAACAGGCTCCAGGTGAATCCGGGGGGTTGTCCTGCCCGGACTTGCTCCAGGTTTCCCTCTCGGAGGATTTTGTTCACTTCAGACCAAGCTGTTATGGTTTTTTCAGGGAAAAAAACCCCACATTCCGAAGGGAAAGCTGGTGATCAGCTGAAGTTTTAATTAGTGGAAATTGTAATTAGGGAATCCATGGGTATGAAATCGTTCTGGAAAGGATCAGGGAGCATGTGGATATGTTCCATCTGCTCCAGGATGAAGCTGCCATCCCCTCTGTCCCTGTTTATTTTATCCAAAAGTAAAATTCATCAATTATTTGATATTTTCCTAAATATTGGTGATGGTGGATGCAAAGCAAAAGGGAAAACAACCATTCCAGGAAAGATTCAGGTGGAAGAGAGAATGGGTTTGTAATTAGTGAGGGTGATGAGAGCTTCATCCCTGTATGTACTGTGTTTGGGAAGTGTTTGGATAAGTTAGGATCAAGGGAATAGCTCAGAAGGCTGCAGCCTGTCACAGCCCTGTGGTGAAGGGCTGGGGGTGAAACACGTGGATTTATTGGCTCAAACATTTTTGGGGCTGTGAGGGCTTTTGAGAGCTGATGGCACTGGGAAGCCAACAGAGCCTCGGGAGCTGGGTGATCCATCAAGAAATGCTGCTGGCAAAGTGAAGGAGACCCTGGAGAACATCTGCTGCTGCTGTGTTGGTGGCATCTTTAGTTTTTCCTTCAGTGGGATCCCCCCTTTTCCTTTGCTGCCATCCCTTGTTTTCCTTTGACATCTCTCATTTTCCCTTCAGTAGCATCCCTTTTTCTTCCCTTTGGCACATCAACTCATTTTCCCTTCAATCCATCCCTTGTTTTCCCTTCAGCATTGGGACTAACCTGCCCTCCCAGATCCCATGGGGCCATCCCAGCAGACATCCCTCTCCAAACAACCTGTGGCTCATTCCCACCGTTAAGTTCTCAGGCCATGTAACAACATTTTTCCTGAGGTCAAGTGGAGCTTCTTGAGGCCTCCAGAGATTTTAGGGAGTCTGTGGCCAGGGAATCAGCTCTTCCCCGAGCATCATTCCTGGGACATGGGCAGCAGGGCCTCCTGTGGCTTCTTTCCCAGGTTTCAACAGGAATTTCGTAGCTTGTGTTTTCCATCTTTTCCCAGCTCCGTGGAAATTCGGAGCTCCAGGGGGATTTGTTGTGGATGTGACGTGTCAGCGGCGTGTTCAGAATCTCCTCTGGAGCTGCTCCCTGTTGGACACAGGGAAGGGTTTTTTCCATGTCTTCCTGGAATTTGAGGGATGACTTGGAGACGGGAATGGGCTTTGGATGCCGGCGAGGGTTGGGAGGCTCCCGGTCCCTGGAGTGTTCTGAGCCAGTTTGGGGATCCCACCCAGGCTCTGCCCAGAGTCAGGATGGAGCAACTTCCCATCACTGGTACCACCGTTAATCCCAATCTCAGTTCTAAAGCTTGACCCTCTCTGCATTAAAATCCCATTTTCCAGCTTTCCTGACCCTTTGTTTCCATTTGTCCAGCAATTCCCCCATCTGCATCCCACCGTGTTCACCATCCCTGGCTCTGGAGCAGCTCTGGAAGCCCCCCGGGTTTGCAGATCCTTTGCTAATTCCTACATGTTAATCTCAGCTGTTAATCCCTAATCAGCCAGAGGAAGTAATAACTTCTTCCTTCTTTTCCAGGTCGACACACAATGAGATGGAAAAGAATAGGTGAGTGCTGGAGGTTTGTCAGGAGCTGGGTTTTGGAGGAATTGTTGCTTTTCCAGGGGTTTTCCAGCTGAGATGGGTTGAGATGGAGGGTGGAAGGGAAGAGGTGGGATAAAGGACACCAAGGATTGAAGCATTCCTTGTCCTTGACTGCTGGGAATGATATCCATCTCCTCAGCCAATTCCCACTCCACTTAGTGAGGAAAATTATCTTTCCCCAGGCTCATCTTTGAGCCAGTTGGAGTTTGGGATTTATCCCAAGAGTAAATCCCACTTTCTTTGCCTGTGTTGTCATCTCGAGGTCCTTTGGGTGAGGAAATCCCTGTTTACTCCCAGTGTATCCCAAACAAGACCAGCAGGTCCTTGCAAAATCCCAGTATGGAGCTGCCCAGGATCAGGTGGTTCAGAGATGGGTGTTGCAACCCACTCCCAAGGATCTGACCTACATGTTGGGATTGGAGCAATGGACACAGGGAAACTGGGGTGTGCTGGGAGCATCCTGGTTATCGGCAGATAAAGGGATTTATTTCCTCATGGAGCCAGAGTTTCCCTTTGGTGTTAATGTCCTACATATTAATGTGGAGAAAACCTGGATGTTACATGGAGAGGGAGGATTTCTGGACCGTGGTCAGTGCTCCCACAGGGATCTGGTGTTGCTTTGAATCCAAAACAACCCTGTTCCTAATAAAAGTATGGAAAGAAAGTGCTCCCAAGGGATTTACAGCTGGGTGTCAGCCTGGGCAGCTTTGCCCTCAGCAGGAACCAACCAGCATTCCTGAGGTGGAGATTTTTGGGAAGACAATGAACACAAGTGGATAGAATTCCAAGGTCATTGGCATCTCCTTGCCAGGGATCATCCCGACAGCCCAGGGTGCCCGCAGGGTTTATCCACGAGGTTTTTCCAAGGTGTCCTTTGGCCTGGCCATGGTTTTCTCCCAGTTTCTGGAAGCCCCTGGAGGCTGGGAAGGCCCCTGGCTGGGTTTAGCTCCCCCCAGCTCAGTTTTCCCTGGGGAAGCTGATCCTGCTGCTCCCGTTCCAGGCGTGCCCAGCTCCGGCTGTGCCTGGAGAGGCTCAAGGGGCTGGTGCCCCTGGGGGCGGCGGCCGGGCGGCACACGACCCTCAGCCTCCTCACCAGGGCCAGGCTCCACATCCAGGTGAGCCGGGAAAACCGGGATGCGGCCCCGGGAAGGGGGGCAGAGATGAGAACAGCCCCCCAGGACGGGGTGTGGGGCTGGGGGGTGCTGGGATTGGGCTGGGATAACTGGGGGAGCAGAGACAGTGGGCTGGATTAACTGGAAGAGTGATGGATTAGGCTGGGATAACTGGGAGAGCACTGGATTGTGCTGGGGTAATGGGGAGTGCTGGCGTTGGGCTGCGATTACTGGAGGAGGGTTGGGATTGGGCTAGGAGGACTGGGAGAGCAATGGCATCAGACTGGGATAATGGAGGAGCACTGGATTGGGCTGGGTTAACTGGGAGAGCTCTGGGATTGGGCTGGGATAATTGGGCAGCACTGGGATCAGACTGGGATAACTGAGTGCTGAATTGAGCTGGGATAATGGGGAGTGCTGACACTGGGCTGGGATAACTGGGAGAGCGATGGATTGGGCTGGGATATCTGTGGGAGGGCTGGGATTGGGCTGGCACGATGGGGGGAGTTGGAATCCATACAGCTCCACATGCCCAGCTGGGAGCCCCTCGGGAGCCGTGGTGGCCCTGCCGGGATCCCGGGGCTCAGGGTGCCGTGTGTCCCCCCGCAGAAGCTGGAGGACCTGGAGCGCCGAGCCCTGCACCAGATCGAGCAGCTGCAGCGGGAGCAGCGGCACCTCCAGCGGCAGCTGGAAAAGCTGGGAATGGAGCGGGTCAGGATAGACAGCATCGGCTCCAGCCTGTCCTCCGAGCGCTCCGACTCGGACCGAGGTGAGACCCCGCTCCGGGGGACGGCCGGCGGGAGGTCCGGCCCTGCTGGGACTCCAACCGTTCCCATTCCTCCGGCAGAAGAGATGGATGTGGATGTGGAGAGCACGGACGACCTCCCGGCCGACCTGGACTGGAGCAGCAGCAGCCCCAGCGACTCGGACGAGCGCGGGAGCCTCCAGAGCCTGGGCAGCGACGAGGGGTATTCCAGCTCCGGCGGGACCAGGGCGAAGCCGGCGAGCGGCCGGAAGCTTCCCCTCGGGATGTAGGAAGCGCTTCCCGCGGCCGTTCCAGCGGCGCCGTTCCCGTGGGATCCCGTTGGCCAGCACACCGACCCCCCCCCCGCATCCCCCGCACGTCCCGCCGATCCCGCTGCTCCCGGGGCTCCGCTCGCGCCCGCCGGCTCCTCGCCCCGGCCGGGATCTCCTCATCCAGGCCCTACATTCCAGCCACGCTTGGAAGCGCCTGGGAATATCGTGGCAGTAACAGCGACCTCCAGAGCCTTCCCTGGGTTCTCTCCCAGGCTGTCACCGCCCGGTATTCCCGATCTTCTCCGCATTTGGCCGGCGACGTCGTGTTCCTGACGCTCAGGACCCAAAAGCTGAGTTTTTGGGAGCAGATCCGAAGGCAGAACCGGCCTCTTGTGGAATTTCCACCTGGGAGAGAGCAGAGCCAAGCTGAGAACCCGCCCACGGAGCATTTTGGGTGGGCACAGGGATCGGCCTCAGTCGGGGGGTTCCTCCCCCCCCCGACTCTAAATATTCAGGGACACCCCATCCCGGCCCTGCCGAGGTCCCGGAGCATTCCCGGCGTGGGGAATGGCAGCCCCCCCTCGGAACGGCCACCTCCGGGCTGGGAAGTTTCTGCCCTCCGTAAACCCAAACGGGACCTCCCACCTCCCGTGGCACGGCATTCCAGACTCCTGGAATTCCTCTCCACGCTTCCAGTCTCGGGGACAGTATTTTCTACCTCGGAGGGAGCCCCCGGCCTCTCTCCACCCCTTCAGCACAAAGATGATGCCTCCGCTCAGCAATAACCCCGTGGGACCCCCCGGATTGGCCTGGAGCTCTTCTCCATCCATCCGGGATCTTCCCAGGCTCATGGAGGGTTCCAGAAGCCCCCGAGGGCGCGGGGGTCCCGAGCCGGAGCGCACTGAGCTGTCCGTGGTGTTCGTTCAGTTCCCGGTGCACTGGAGGGAACATTCCCACCACTTCCTGCTTTGAGAGCTGCTCTGGGAATGTTGGCACTTGGAGCTCTGCTTTCCACACCTTCCTTTTCCCTTCGACCGCTCCAGGGGTTTTCCAGCCCCTCGGGACCCTCTTGCTCCAGCCCCGTGGGGTCAGTGAGTCCTCAGTGTCCGGCAGAGAGCTCTCCAAGGGCTTTTCCCAGCGCTGGGATGAAAAACAGGCTCTGAGGGCCCCTTTTCTTCAGGAATTGCAGGTGCTGAGACGCACCAAGATGCTCCACGGAGTGCAAGGGGATGAGGGGGAAACTCCAGTTCTTTTCCTTTTTCCTGTCCCATTTTCCTTCCTATTTCCCATCTTTCCTTTCCTTTCCTTTCCTTTCCTTTCCTTTCCTTTCCTTTCCT